TTATGTGTTCAAGGCAATTTTCGGAAAGAGGCACGACAATGACAACGAAAATTAAATTAAAATAAAAGAATTCAATGAAAAAAAAACAAAACCCCATATGTATGGTTGATCATAATCTAATTATAATGAGTACATACAAAGTTGTGTATGTATAAATTTATGTAACTAAGCATTGGAATGCACATAAATATCTAAACATAAAAGTTTATTTTAATGTATGATGAACATGAAAAATGAAAAGAATTCCGAAACCATATTAAGTCACTTCAGAGAGATTCCCCTTCTGATAACGTTTACAGTATGAGTACGTGCATATGCAATGAATAATATCGTATTTTTACATTTAAGTGTACATACGAATATGTAGTTTAGTTAGAATTTAAATTGCAACAATATTCATTTTGACAATTTAAGAAATTGTGGATAAGGAATAAAACAGCTAATTAAAAAAAAGTCATACTGCAAAAATTGTTTAATATTAAAAACTAGATTACATTATTGTACTTTATTTATTCACAATATTAAAAATTTACGATATTATCAATATAGAAAAATAAGGTATTAATAAATGGAAACCACACTTAACCACCTATTTTCAATAACAGTTGATATTAGTCGTAGGATGTTTCGAAATTAGTACATTCCGCTCTTGACAAGTTACAGGTATTACTCAACAAGGTATTGAGCAGTCGGTACTCGACAAGGTATAGAGCAGTCGGCTCTGATTCCCGTTTTCATTATTAAATTTATTGTTGGAAATTTTTGTAAATCAAATAATAATTAATTTATTTTGCTGTATTTTTCATCATTAGAATTCAGAAAGTTCTCAAATTTTTTTCTGCCTCAAATTTTGTATACGTGTGCTCGTTTATTTCACATATTTATTAAAACACAAAATATGTATGTATGTAATTAAAAATTGTAATTTAAAAATTTTCTAATTTTTCTATACAAATTTCGTTTTTCTTAAAAGTCATCTATACATATGTATGTACATACATGCTCCCCAAATAAAATTACTAATCTTTGAATTTATGTATATATACATATACATAATGCGTGAAATCAAAAACCATACATCTACTTGCAGTAGATTACAGTAAAATTAACCTATGTATAGTATGTGTTATGAGTTGTATGGATTTTTTATTTCTTATAAAATAAATTGAATATTATTGACGTAAAAAGGAGAAAAAAAACAAAATGAATAAATAACAAATAAATAAAAAGAAAAGATGAAAAAAAATTAAAACGGATCCAGAATATTAATAGTTTGTACTTGTACATAGCATAGAAAGACACACTCATTCTTGATGGTTCTTGATCATTAAATGAATAGGTATTACATCTTTATAATAAAACACTTTCCAAACTGAATTTTAAATGAGAATAACAGCAAAATTTATATTATAGAGAGAAATTTATAATGTTATTTGAAACCAGTGTTGCCATACAAAAAAATTTTTTACCAATTATTTCGACGTAAAAAATAATTCAAATAGAGGAAAAATAAACCAATCCGTAATGAAGTCCAATGAATTGCAATTCATTTTTCTTTTTTTCCTATTTCTCCTTAACAGGCTCCACCTACACTTATAAAACAGTAATTTACAGTTACATCAGCTAACATGCAAGAAATTGAGTACTGTAGTCAGTGACACGAAAAATATTTCACCATATTTAAATGTCTGTGAACAGATTTCTTTTGAAAAAATGTCAAAAATTCAACAACAAGCTCACAATAGTCAGAAGAGTGTTATGTAGATTTATATGTATACATAAGGTTTTTAAAAAAAGCGTATCAGCTACAAAAATAACAAAAAATAAAAATTATAGAAAATAGTTCCTCTAAAAAAAATTAAATTAGGAAACAAGTTTTGAATCTAACAGGATTCTATACCTGGTTAACTGAATTTTGGAAGAATTTATTCTAAAACGGCAACCCTATTTTAAACAAATATTGCATTGCAATGCAATAAACGAGTGAGCACCAGAATGAAGAGAACTGCACACACGATGATAGATAGAAATGATGGAAAAAACGGAGAGTGGCAGGAGAGAAATAAAGAGAAATAACAATAATAAAATAGAAATATGCAACTTTAAAGCATAAAATTATTATTATGGTAAATTTTCTTGGAAAAATTCCTAAACAAACTAATTAAACTAATTAAACTGAGATAAGAGGAAATAATTAATAACGCATATATATACATACAATATAGATAATAATATTCTCTATTTAATAAATGCTATTACTATATACTACTAAATAAATGTATAAGTATATACGCATATTTGTATTCATATTTAGATAAAAAATAATTAAATAGGTATTTTGTGATATTGCCAGCTATATATTTATATTAATGACGTTGATAATGTTTTTTATGTATGGTTTGTATAATTATGTGTTATGTGAATTTTAAGTGAATTCTACTACCGTTGATATTGTTTGTTGTTGGTATGGGTATTGTGAATATTACTACTATTTTATAGCGATTGCAATGCGTAAAACATTAATTTTTTTTTTTTTTGTATCTTATGCGTTCTTTTTGGTTTTAATGTATATTTTAGGTATTCCGATCATGCTTTTAAAGTTTTCCACAATAAACACCTATATTCATATAAATAGATATAATGTGCATATTATTTAAAATCTATATGTAATGTAAATGTAATTTCCATCGAGTTTTACAAATAATAGTATAATACAAGTATAGTGGTATATAATTACAAGGAGAAAATAAGAAATCTTTAATAAAGATAAAAATCTATACTATGATTTTTTTTTTGCTTCAATATCAGGTAAGAGTGTAAAGATGATGATCGCTAGAGTATAAATTTCAAAGGGATTTTATTAAAGCCAGATTGAAGAGCCATTTAATTGGATAAATAATATAAAATAGCATATTATAAATATCTTTAAAAAAAAAATTATTAAAACAATTTCATTTACGCCGATTACAATATAAAATGAAGAGAAAACCATAAAAGATATTGAGTTGAGACATTGTCCAGAGACTATTAAGAAATAAACACAGAAAATTTGTTAGTTTAAGATAAGTTGCCTTCTATTTTTATTTCTATATACGTAGAACTCATACTGGAATCTCAAAAGACTTGTAATAATGATTACTGATTAAGTTATCTATATATATACGATCATATATATAGATTTATAATTTTATTTTTTTTTATTATTTTGTTATATAGCTTAATTTTGTCTTCGATATTATCTTAGCTGTTTTCTTTTTACTAAGAATTATATACTTATTATGGATTATTTTATTAATTAGGAGATTGTAAACATTTTAATTTAAATTCTTATAATCTTATATGATATAATATATTTTAATACACTTTATACTATATCATCCATTAGGAAATGGACCAACGTAACTCTAAATATCTAATTTTACATTACAAGAGTTTGAATTATTTAAGCTTTAAGGGAATATTAAATGTTACAAAAACTGTTCTTCAAAAATTTTGCATTCTCTCTCTATACAACATGTGTATAATTTACTCTTATATCACAAGATTTTCAAATACAAAACGAAATTTCATTTATAAAAAATACCAAACTACTTTCAAGTATATTTGTGTCTTATATACTTCTGTAAAAAGAATGTAATTGTAATTATAATCTTGAAGGGGCTTTTTCAAATATTGCCATCTAAAATCAAAATTCCAATACGTCTTTCAAAAATATCTTTCTTTGCAAATCATAAATATGTATTCCGAAATTTTGGTAGTAAATACGTAAATTAAAATTTTCTCATTTATGTAATTTAATCCGTAAACTCATAAATCCCGTTTTTTTGGACTTACACTATTGTTTTCGGGAATCTGACGATATAATTATTTAAAGAGAAAATTCTTTTAAACCTGTACTGTATATTAAACAAGAAGGAGTAAACTTGAATTTTTATTGTCTAAATAAAGTTAAATTATTTTTTTAAATTTTTAAATTCTTGTTCTATAAATTCTTGTTGAAATTTTAGATTTAAATATATAATGAGTGCAAAATATGTATATACAGTAAATTTCTTTCAATAATCTTTGGAAATATAGCTAGTTTCCAATATAACTAAGAGAAATTTTATTTTAATTTACCTTTACTGTGTTTAGAGTAAAGATTACGTAAAATAGTTCGTTTGCTGCGAACAACGCGGGTAACATACCGATTTGAGATCTCAATGTGACAAAATTAAATCACGGTTTAAATTGTTTAAAAAAATTTTTTATTATTATTATTAATACAATAATTAGCAAACAATTATTTACAATAATTTATTAATGTAATTTAGAAGTTTATTAATAACAATTAAAAATATGTGAATATCATGGACATATGTAAGAAAAATTATAGACACGTTAACAATATGATATGATTAAATCTCCAAATTTGACAAAATATAATTGCATTTTCGAAATTTTTGAAATAAATACTTACAATTTCTCTCCAAGAACACATTCGCTATAGGAATTCGAAATAATTTCGCTATAGGAGTTCGAAATAGATTGCATATAATCTCAATGGAGAGAGTGTATAATAAGGACTGTAAATGTTAGCAGAGAGCACAGGTTAAGAGCACAGGCTTTAAAAAAAAATAATAATTTTATTCTCCAGCAGTTTTTATAAAACTCATGTGCCCTTTTTAATCAAATAAGATTTTATTTTTTCTATAATTTTTTCGTAATAATTAAAAGGTTTATTGAAAATTAAACAATCTATGTATATTAATTATATAATTTTATGTTAGACAAATTAAAAAAAATTACTAAATTAAACTTAAGCATAGTTTTTGCTTCAATCCAAAATTAATTGTAAATTATACTATTACAATAATTTTTTTTTGATTAATCATAGCTACCCATTATTAAAATGGAAATTAATTTTATAAAATTCAACATAAGTTTTATAAATTTTTAATAAATTATTTCTATAATAAAATTTTTAAAATATTTTTCATTTTTATTTTGTATATTTTTAGATAATCATGTACAATTGAGTCAACAAATAAAGGACTAAAATCAAAAATAAAATATCGCTAACAAATTTAATTAAAATCAACTAAAAACAACGAACAAAAAAAAAACAAAAACCAAACCCAAAGATCCAACAAAAAAGAAAAAACTAAAAAAAATATAAGAAAACAATAAATTTTTATTCTATACGAATACTTAAATTAAGCCACATAATAAATCAACATACATATATACAAAAATTTATTCCAGTTATATAATATTAAAAGTAATTGATTTCATTATGAATGCTCATTATCAAACTTATTCAAATTTATCATCACCTCATTCACCAAGTCCAGATGATAATGGAAGTTATACAACATTATCTAGTCATACAACAGGAAATTCAAATGGTACAAATAATGGAATAGGTGGAATTGGTGGAGGTGGTGGTAGTGTTGGAAGTAATGGTAGTAGTAATGGTGGTGGAGGTGGTAGTAATAACATTGGTAATACTAGTAATAATAATAATATTATTAATGGTAATGGAATTAATACAAATAATAATAATAATGGTTGTAATATTGGACTTGGTAATAATACAACAAACAGTAATCATATGAATGGACATGGAAATAATAATAATAATAATAATAATGGTATTAGTATTAGCAGTGGTAGTGGTATAAATGGTAATAATATTGGTATTGGTAATTGTAATGGTATCAATATGGTACATCATCAAAATGGTAATCATGAACAACAGCATATGCATATGGATAACGATCAACCAGATTTTCATCATTTAAATAATAATAACAATAATAATAACAGTAATAATCACAATAGTTCAATTAAGAGTTGTGCTGGTTGCGGAGGTAAATAATATTATATATTTTATTTTTTATGTTAACGTTATTAGTATGTCTGTGCATATGTAATTTTTATCAATTACAATATTATGTGCCTAATTTGCGTTCTTCAATGTTGTTTTGTAGAGACTGGTAATGCTAAAAATTTTGTAGTAAATTTGAACTGAATATTCTAAATTTTTGGATTTTTAAATAAGAAACTTACGTAAACGTATTAAAATACATGGGATTTGCCGATTTTGGCATTACAAATTTTAAGTTTGTAAGCTTATGTTGAATATCATGTTATTTAAAAAACTTCAAAAAATAAATTAATATTAAATATACAAAGACGTAAGAGACAAAATGTAAAACCGACGGCAAAATGCTGACGACATATTTTATTAAATATGTGCCTTAGACGTACCAGATCTCTTATACATATATTGGCATATTTATTGATTTCCGTTTAGTAATCTTGCATTCTTGAATTTTAATGAGTTCTTATTTTGAAATTATGGCAATACAAAGTTGTTATATTGTGTACATTCTAATTAACAGTAATCAAATTTTAATAAAATTGTAAATATTTTATGTTACTAATTTTTTTTTTTTCACAGGTAAAATATTAGAACGTTATTTGCTACATGCATTAGATAGATATTGGCATAATTCCTGTTTAAAATGTTATTGTTGTGGTGCATTACTTGCTGATATTGGTTCTAGTTGCTATACAAAAGCCGGCATGATACTATGTAAATCGGATTATACAAGGTAAGAATTTCTTTTTCAAAAATATTGATTGAACATGATTAATACGACTCTGTAACAATTCGAACAATATGTATAGTGTATTTGAATAATATTACATATATAAAATTCGAATAAAATTAAAAGTTTTCTTTTCCTTAAATTCAAATTAATGTGAAACTTAAAAGAAATATTTGTAGATTCCAAGGGAACCGACTGGGGCAAGAGGATATATCCTCCGAACCACCTCAGCCATTCGTAAAGGTTAAATCATAAGCCAATAAATTTAAAAATATAAGGTTTTGACAAATCCGAACCTGTTAAGACCAACTTTTGTAAAAAATTTATTTGGTCTGCTGACCTATAATATAATTGTTATATAAAATTTAAAAAAAAATTCTATTTGTGAAAAAATGTAGAATATAGACAAATGAGATTTGATGTCCCTTTATCTTAGATTAATTGTTGTTGATCGCCAATATTAGAAAAGATTTCTTCCAACTCCCAAAATTTTGTCAATTTCCCAAATAACGTACAATGATATAAGAGTATCCTAAATTCGCGTTACACTATATAAAATTGTATAGTAAAACTTGCTAACGTGTCAAAGATCCCTTTCAAGTAAGTGGGCGATAAATTTCCAATTAACTTTACTCGTTTTCTGCAAGCTAGACATTTGCTAAAAGTAGACAAATATCAAAGTTTAAAATATCACAATATTCAAGTTTAACATAATGTCTGTTCTCTTGATTTCTACATCTACAAATCCATACGAGTATAACATGTAATATAAGCAAATTAAATTTTAAGTAATTTGAATTTCAGATCTAATTTTATCCAATCAGTTTTAATAATTTAAAATTTAAATGTTAGTGCGGTCATATTTGTTATAGTTTTGCAATTATAACTAAAAATTATTATAATAAAGTACGTTTTATCCTTTTCATTAAAACCTTCGTCTTTGACTTTCATTAAAACTTTCGTCGACAACAATAAAACTTTATTAAAAGTTTCAAATCCTAGAAACATGCATACATTCTTCAAGTGGTCTTCCATTTATTTAAATTCATTTTGTTTTTCTTGTTAAACTTCACTAATATGGTAATGATTAAAATTGTGGTTCAATAGTTTTCGGAAGTAATTATTTAACAAAAAAATAAAAATCAAAAAGGAAAAAAGTTAAAAAAACACCTAAAAAAAAAAAACCATTTTTCAAAAATAATTTTACAATTTAAAAATTAAAATTATATTACTACCTCTCTACCTAAATTAATTTCAATTATATTCAAAAAGAAAAGACCATAATCTACTTGAGGTTTTCCTTAAAATTTAGTTTTACATTTCTCACAAAATTATTTTAAGGATTTTTTTCTTTTTTTGTTTTTCAAAAGTCATTTCATAAACTAACCAAAAAGGATAATAATTATTTTTACAACTATTATGCAGTTTTTAGAGAAATTCTATTCATATATGTGTGTGTGTGTCATATATACACATAGATACACATAGATTATTTGGTAAAATTTAAAAAAAAAAAATTATTTCAAGAGTGAGTTGAAAATTTGAATTTATTTTAGGAATAAAAAATTATGGATAAATTGCCAAGTATTGTGCTCGAAATGGATAAAATGCAATTTCAGAGCAAAAATTTTACTTTACAATCATAATATTTTCGGAAAATCCATGTCCTCATAAGAGACATATTCTCTAATTCATACTATATTGAATTTAGGCAGCTTAGCTTAGAAAAATAGCAGATTACAGCGTTCACATAATAAAGAATTATTGTTTTCTTTAATTTCATTTAGCTTCTAATGGCAAACGCATAAATGTACACTTGAATCTTGAAAGAATTAAATAAGCTTTATTGAATAGAAATATGAAAATTTGTATAATTTAAAATTTGGTTTCAACAACACTTCAAAATTCTCTATATTTTCGTTTCTAACAGTGGAAAATTGAAAATAAAAATTATTAAAAACTTGAAAAAGTAAACAAAAAAAGTCAAAGTAATTCAGAATTTGATTCAAATTTTGCATTATTGGAAAGACAACCTCTTGTTTGTGATCTAGCAAAATAATCAAAACCCTCAAACAATTTTTTTGCTTAAAGACCGAATGATCACCAGCATTTCAATTAGATCTGCAAAATTTTCTATAATCAAGTGTAAAGCAATTGAAATTCTAATTAAAATTTTCTCAATTTTTCTCTTATTTTTTCTAAACACGATGCATGCCTTATATAAGTAAATATATGTATAATACAATCGCATACACATACCACTATATAATTTTTATTTACGCAAGGATTTTAAATCAAATATTGAAAAAAGTAGGAAAAAAAAAATAAAAATAAAAATTTTATCTTTTTCATAATTTTTTATATTATGAAGAAGATTTTTTTTTTTCCAAAAAGGATTAAAACAAAAACAAAAGGAAAACAAAACGTAAAGAGAAAAGAAGAGCAAAAGAGATAGATAACAAACCTGGCATTAACACAATTTTGCGCACCATTTAAACAGAATGATAATAATTGTGTGTTTCTTATTTGAATTTGAATTTTCTTACCACAAAATTTTTGTGTCATAATTTGTTCAATTGTCGCAGTTTTCCATCATTTTTCCGTATTTTTTTTTCTCTCATTTTATTTTTGTTTTTATTTTTTATTATTTTTTTTTTTTTATGCTATGTGCCTCATAATAATTTGTCTCTCTTTTTATATTATGTATGTATGTATGTATGTATGTAAATAAAATTTTCGTAAACGTCCTAATGTTACGCCACTATGTGTGCATAAAAACCTATATAAATGCATATTCTGAGTAAACACAAACATACATCCAAACGAACATTGTACATAATATATTTCAAATAAAAATTAAAAGAGAAAAATCTCATATTCGTTCTGCAATAAAACACACAAAAAAAAAAAAAATGGAAAATAAAAAGAGACAAATAATTTTTTTGTTTTTATTTTTTCTTTCTTTTTTTTTTTACTATTTGTTTTGTTTCTTTTTTTTTCTTCTATTATTTTATTTCTATATTGAAAAGGATTTAAATGACTCATTGTCCTGATAGTATGACGTATATATATATAAATATATATATATATATATATATATATGCGGAAGAGATTCATTTGCATTCCTTTTTTTATGAATTCCGTACTGGATATTATAATGTTTTCTCTTATATGCTTTTATATAGAATGCTTGTATGCATGTATGTATTGAAATGGATGTTTGTATAATAATATGTGATGCAAATTTGTTTGATATATTAACATATAGTATGCAGAGATCTTTATATTTATGATTTAAGGGAATAGTTGAAATTAATGGTTTGGAAAAATTACATTTTGAGTTTTACAAATACCTACATGCATATAAAAATATTTTCATATTAAAGGCGTATAACACTCGTATATACAATACGAGTACTTGGTGATAGTTTTTAAATTTAACATGATTTTGTGTTGATAAATTTGAAAGTTAGAAAGTGCAGACAAAGATTTTATATTTCCTTTTTAAATATAAAAGCAAAAAGCCATCTATCGGTATAAATTTGTATTGCAATTCCTCTCTAATAACTTCTTTATATTATATTAACAAACATTACTTGAATACTATTTAAAACATTAACAATTTCTATAGATTTAATATAATGTTATACTACTCATATTCGACTTACAAATCAAAGTTCTTGTTTCCTTCGGCAATTAAGAAAATTAAGTTTTCTCTCAATTCTAGAATCAAATATCCAGTGATCTTTATGATTTTTAGTTTATAAAATATTTTTTTATTAATATTTTGCAATTATGATTCAAACTTGGCTGCACAACTCAGCATTTAATTCACAATTTTTCTCTATTGTTCTTCAAGAGTAGTAAATAGCATACTTTTAGGTGTTACAACTCAATACCTCGCAATATCTTTAAGTGACTGGAACTGTAACAATTTAAGATACAATAAAGGAAAATAATTTTTGAAAAAATTAAGGTTTCATTTAAAATCAATTAGTAAAAAACTTAATTTATAGAAATGCCTCCGGGTTTACAATTTTCTACGTTAAAATAATGGATTAAACTTTACTTAAAATTTCTAAGAAAAATTTCCCATAGCAAATAATTTTTCAGAATAAGTTGCACGAATCATGATAAAGTAAATATTTTATATTGAAATACAAATATAGTGTTAAAGAGGGTTTTTGAAAATCCGTATATAGATAGGGTCCCTGTACATACCTATGCACTCGATGGTAAAAAAAATTTATATGCACACACTAACAAAAGAACGTTCCCTAAATTTGCTTTTCATTGCAGTAGAAAAATGAATAAGGATGTTAGTTTGTTAGAGAAATAAATTGAAAATAATTTTTTTTTTCTCGCTTTTACATATTCAAATAGAGAGGAAGAAAACGCGAATAAGTGAATAATAAAACAGAAGAAAAAAATTTTGATTATTAACTTAATTTTTATAATATAAAAATAAATATTTGGTTTCATGATTTATTAGAGGTGACTAAGTAGCATTTGATGGAACATGCATCCTATTGTTTTTCTCGTTTTTCTTTCCTTTTTTTATTGTAGGTAAATAAAATTTTCCGTATTAAGTTTTATTCATTTTTGTAAATTTGCTTTTTTCGGTTTTGTAAATTTAATTTTGTGAAAAATGTTAAGAATCCTTATGCTTTTATAGTTAAGTGTCATTTAATTTCTTCGAGTGCCTAGTTCTCTAATTCAAAAGAAAATAAATATTTAGTTATCGTGTAATTAAAAATGAATTGAAGTGCACTTTTGGTGAACTTGTTTTTTTTTTTCATTAGAATAATGCAAGTATTGCATTTTATCTTCGTAAATTATGTAATTATGTGATAGAGTTGGGAAATGTTAAGATATTTCATAAGAAATTGATTCATTAAGTTAAAAGTCCAAAGAATTTGTTATGATAGCGATACGGTTTTGCGGTTTTTATCAATAAGAATGTAAATCAATAAAATTATGTAGAAATAGTAAAGGTATATAAA